ATTTTGGTGTCCCAGATTTTGATGGAGGGGTCCTGATCCAGTTTTTGGGAGCCTCCTGAATTCAGGAGAACGGAAATTCATTTTTGATCCGGGATGACAAAATATTCGTTTTTTATCCGACCCATTGGTGACTTCCCACAGACTCCCCTTCCCATCATTTCAGGCATTGTGTTTGTCCTCATATCCTTCATTAATACCTGGATTAAAAGCATGAAAGCTAAAATACCACTCTTTCTGTGATCCTTGATCTTCTGTCCGTAGAGGAGGCCGTGTTTAATGCTTCATTACAGCTGTTTCTACTCTAGAGGAGACAGGAGTTGAAGGCACACAAATTCTCTCCCTGCAGCAGGCAGTTTTCTAAGGTATTTTAAGGAGGCTTCCCATTTCTCAGGGAAGGAAGAGGGATCAACTTGGAGTTACCCTACCCTGAGCTTCCTTAGAAAAACACTCTCTTCTCTCTTGATTTGGAGGTGATGGAGTGGTGCCTCCTCTCCCCCTCACTTTTCTTTCTAGTGATTGCCCCCTCCCTTCACTCCATGTGTAACCAAAAGCAGCCAGTTTTCGATACTGTTTTCGATACTGTTGCAACCACTAAAAAAATGGCAGTGGAACTCATGCCATTATGGGCTTCTGGACCAACCACATCAACCGAACAAGCCAAAGGCAAATGTCCATAACAAATCCATGCACAAGCCGAATAAGCAGGGCTATTTGTATGAATCTTTTCAATGGAATCAATATGTTCTTTATAAGGCCCCATCTACACTGCCATACAATCCAGTTTCTCATCCAGATTATCTGCTTTGAACTGGATTATATGTCAATCCAGGACTCCATCCCATGGGTTTCAGCCTGCATTTCCATGCACTTTGGAAATGAAACCCCATGAGAGTCCTACGGTGTTACCCAATTCCAGATTCCATATGGGAGAAAGTGAGGAAAAGATGAGAAAAAGATGGATAAGGACATGGGATGGCTTGCCATCCTTGAAGATGGGGAAAAACGGGAGGGAATTGGTTAAGATAGGTCTTTCTGCTTTCCCCCAGTTTTCCCTCTCTCTGTTTGATGAAGTTCTAAGAGAAATACTCATATAGTTGACTGGAGCTAAAGAAGCAGCTTAATTGCAGATGTCAGGAAAAATATTTTTTGAACTACAAATCCTATAGCCATCATGGCAACTTGGTAATTGCCTAAGGGAGTTGACTTACTAAAAATATTTGTTGACACTATCCTCATTGGTTAGGAAATTCTGGAGCTGTGGTCCAAAAGGGGTTGCTTTCCAATCTCTTTCTAATATTATATCCCTATGGAATTTTTCATATAGAATATTCTCAATGTTTTTGGGCTATATGGCCATGTTCTAGAAGCATTCTGTCCTGAAGTTTCACCTGCATCTATGCCAAGAATCCTCAGAGGTTGTGAGGACGTCACAACCTTTGAGGACGCTTGCCATAGATGCAGGCGAAATGTCAGGAGATAATGCTTCTAGAACATGGCCATATAGCCCGAAAAACCAACAACAACTCAGTTATTCCAGCCATGAAAGCCTTTGAGAATACATTCTCAATGTTTTGTTTCTTCCTTTCTTTCAAAGTAGCACTGAGATTTTTAACTGCAAATGCCTTTCCAGGACATAGCAGTTACTAGCTCTTAGCATGCAAAGCATGTTCAGAAGAAATGGTTACTAGGCACAAATGAAAACACTTCAAAACTGAAATAGTTTAATGCCTCTAAAAATACACTTCCACCCATAGTTGTTACTTCTTTGGTTGCAAGTTTATATTAGCAGCAGGAATAAAGAACAAGTCCATACAGAAATAAGAACAGGTTGTCTTCTTTGGATCCAATCTAAGGGGGATAGTGATTCAGTTTCTGCTGAGTATATACATATGTTTGCCATACAGAAAGTATTGAGGGTAAACATCTTTCCTAACGATTCCTCTATATAAATTCCAAAGGAAATGTTTAAGCATGAAATTAGGTGTGCTTTGCCAAAGAGCAGCAGCAGATCAGAACACTGAAAAAAAAATCAGTTCGAGATTTGGAGCCACTTCTTATAGATTATAATGAGCAAACAATGCATTGTCCTGTACATCAATCCAAAGTTTTGTGAAACATATGCTTCCACTCTACATGTTTCCAAGCACCTCTTGGACCACAAAGGTTCCATTTTTAATATGTACATTACCACTATATGTTGAAAACATTGCACAGATTATTTCTTGCTTGTGGAGTCCCCAGTGGAGCAATAGGTTAAACCTTTGTGCTGGCGGGACTGCTGATCGGCAGGCCAGTGGGAGAGCAGGTTGAGCTCCCTCTGTCAGCTCCAGCTCCCCATGCGGGGACATGAGAGAAGCCCCCCACAAGGATGGTAAAACATCAAACATCCAGGTGTCCCCTGGACAACGTCCTTGCAGATGGCCAATTCTCTGACACCAGAAGCGACTTGTAGTTCCTCAAGTCACTCCTGACATAGACACAAAAAATATCTTAGTTGCTGTTCTTCCTTCTTTTTTCTTCAGTGTTTTATTTGTTAAATTTACAACCTGACTTTATCTCTGTAAAAAAACAACACACAATATAAAAAATATTCTTCAAAAAGCAGTTAAACCATAACACAGTTTAATTAAAAACACAAAACAGGCCAAAACACAATTAAAAACACATGAAAGAAAGCTCAAACAATACGCATGGAGTAAGGACTCTTTCTGCCGAAATGCAATTAATTTCCGAAGACCTGACTAAATACAATGACCAACACAAGGACTACAAGGAAAGGCCCAATGTAGTCTCGCTCACAGCTTGGGAATGTCAACAAAACGGACATATTATTTCCCCCAGTTGAATTTTAGAGTGCATCTACACTGCAGAAGGGATGCAGTTTGATACAATTTTAACTGCCACAGTTCAGTGCTATGGAATCACGGGAGTTGTACCTTGGTGAAGTATCAACATTTCTAAAGACTTAGTAAAATGACAACTTCCACTGTTGCATAGCTTTAAGGCAATGCAGTTAAAGTGGTGTCAAACTGCATTCGTTCTAATTGTAGATTAAGTTTCTAAAACCAAGAATCTCCCACTGAGGTAGTTTTTAAAAAAGCGAGCCCCCGGTGATGCAGTGGGTTAAACCCTTGTGCTAACAGGACTGAACACTGACAGGTCTGAGATTCGAATCCAAAGAGAGCACAGATGAGCTCCCTCTGTCAGCTCCAGTTCCCCATGCAGGGACATGAAAGAAGCCTTCCAGAAGAATGATAAAACATCAAAACATCCGGGCAACATCCTTGCAGACGGCCAATTCTCTCACACCAGAAGTGACTTGCAGTTTCTCAAGTTGGTTGTGACATGGAAAAAAAAAAGTTTTCAAAAAATGAGCCATATTGGTATCTTGCAGCATAAAAAGGAAGAAAGGAGAAAGGTGGGGGGAGGGGAGAAAAGCGTAAGAACCCATTAAAAACTGACTCTGGGTTGAACCTAAAGAAACTGATTTTTGGTAAGCAGATTTATTGTTTTCCCATATCAACAGTAACTAATAACTATAAGATCCTTATCACTTTAAGCAGCCTTTTGAAAATGTAGGGCAAGGTACATGGTATGTGTCTTTCTGGGGCCTATTATCTTTCACCCCACTCCCACAACTGTTTAAATGTATACCTAAGGCCTTAACATCACTTTGCATTAGAGAAGTGGATTTATATCCCCAAAAGCTCATGCTAAACTAAAAACAATTCAGTCTTACAGGTGCTGCAACTGTCTTCCTTCTTTCTCCCCCTGTGTGTCCCTGCATCCTTTCTAAAGACAGAAACCTGTATCTTTGGATATCCAAACACAGGGCTAGGGCATTGCTTTACCTGACATTTTATTACAATCCAGTAAAAGCCTATCTGCTTTTAAAACTCAGTAGCACTAAACTATGTGGAGCAGATGTCATTTCTACATAGGATCCCTTTCAACAAGCTTAACCCCCAAATCCTCATTAAGAATTATTTAGAAATATTTTACATTATGTAATAAATAGAATACCATTTTTGTTTCTATTAATACAAACAAGCTGACATTTATTTTAATTTGCTTTAAAAGTTGTTTAAAAGAGCAATGAATTTATTTTAACCATAAATAACTGCTTGACAGCTCATAGCAGCAATATGTTGTTTTTTGACATTTAATAGCAAGATTTTTCATTTATGTATTTTCCAGTACCACTAAAGCAGGATTCAGCAGAAATGTGTGGACTAGAGCTATGATCCAGTACTTCTGCATGTAGTGAAAATATCAGCAATAGTATATCTCATGAAAACAGCCAGCATGGTGTAGTGATTTAAGTTTGGAACACAGACTCCATGAAGTTATGGTTGGAATCCCTGCTCAACCATGGAAACACATTGGATGACCTTGGGCAAGTTATACTCTCTCAACCTAAGAGGAACACAATGGTATGCTCCACTTTCAATAAATCTTTCGAAAATAGAAGAACGGCCTGCCTCAGGAGAATTTGCTTCCTCCATCAATGTTTACCATTTACACAAATGATCAGCCACAGCCAGAAAGGGAGAGAGTTTCATTTATGCTGACGATTGTGCCATCACGTCTCAAGCAAGGAGCTTTGAAATGGTTGAACAGAAGCTCTCTGAAGCTTTAGGTGCTCTTACTGCCTATTACTGGAAAAACCAGCTGATTCCTAATTCATCTAAAATGCAGACGTGCACATTTTACCTTAAGTAACAGATAAGCATATCGAGCTCTGAGGATTACCTGGGAAGGAATCCCACTGGAGCATTGCAGCACACCAAAATACCTGGGAGTTACCCTGGACCATGCTTTGACTTACAAGAAGCAGTGCTTGGCTATCAAGCAAAAAGTGGGTACAAGAAATAATATCATACTAAAGCTGACTGTCACAACCTGGGGATCACAACCAGACACAGTGAAGACATCTGCCCTTGCACTTTGATACTCTGCTGCTGAATATGCATACCTAGAGTGGAATACATCTCACCACATTAAAAAAGTGGGCATGGCTCAATGAGACATGTCGCATTATCACAGGATGTCTACACTCCACACGACTAGAGAACTGTTTAGCCAGTATTGCACCACCTGACATCCAGCGGGAAGTAGCAGCCAATAATGAAAGGACCAAAGTAACGACATCCCCGACCCATCCTTTGTTCAGATACAAGCCAGCATGCCAATGCCTTAAATCAAGAAATAGCTTTCTAAGATCTACAGAGATACTTGCAGGAACATCTCAACAAGCAAAAGTCCCAAAGTGGCAAACTAAAACCATGATCAGTACTGTCAGTCGCCAGAAAACCTTGCAAGATCTTTTCTTAATCTGACTAGTGGGTCGGGGTATTGTCATCCCAACCTCAATCAGTCACTGATACCAGATGAGAGACTCCCCTTTGCACACAGAAAACTAGGTGACTTGGAAGGCACTGAACAGACTGAGCTCTGGTACCACGAGCTGCAGAGCCAATCTTAAGAAATGGGGCTACAAAGTGGAGTTCACAACATGCGAGTGTGGAGAAGAGCAAACCACAGACCACTGACTACAATGCAGCGCGAGCCCTGCCACATGCACAATGGAGGACCTTTTTACAGCGACACCAGAGGCACTCCAAGTGGCAAGCTTTTGGTCAAAGGACATTTAGTATAATGCCAAGTTCTTAACTTTGTGTGTGTTTTTAAATACATTATAACTGTACCCTCAATTCGCTTCTGACACAATAAATAAATAAGTAAAATCTTATGATGGACACCTTATGAAGGGCTGCCATAAATCAGAGTCAACTTGAAGGCAAAGGACAACAACATCAGCAGCAACTACGACAAATCTTCAGAACCTCAAATAGAAGACTCCTGTCTCAAACCATGGCCTGAGTATCCAACTTAAAGATAGTAATAGTTGGAAGATCAAGATGGCCTTGTAGTGACTGCTTCATTATCTGACATGTCTGCCTATGTGGGGCAATAATCCAAACATCATCAAATCAGTGAGTTAACCATTCTCACAATAAGTTCTGAGCCACTACTTGCCACCACCTTTTTTTCACAAACTGGTTAAATACCCCATGGTTCAGTGAACCTTGTGGTTATAACACTTTGTTTCACATTTTACTGTAAATTTCTAGGTGATCATGATATTTGTAAGCATGAAACAAGGGACAACAAATCAGCTTTTATGCCGTTGTTCAGAAACCCATACAAAATTGGGTTTAAACAGCAAGACATCATGCCCAACAAATGACAAATACAGTAGATCAATTTAAAATGCTTGTTTGAAATTAGGTTGCCATTGAAATCAGTTACAACATGGAAAACATGAAGGGGCATCCAACTGACCGCAAAAACAATGATCAGTACTGTCAGTCGCCAGAAAACCTTGCGAGATCTTTTCTTAATCTGACTAGTGGGTCGGGGTAGTGTCATCCCAACTTGCAATTCTGAATTTTCTGGTTTTGCTTCAAAACAAACAGGTATTCCTGGTATAAATCTGCTGGATGAAGAAAGCTGGCTTTTTTCAGTACCTGATGTTTCAGGGAGGCCTCCAGAGTTAAGATCCCGGCGGTGCATTAAAATTGCTGGCATCACACTAGCTGTCTTTTTACTGTACCTCTTTCGGTGCTTCCCAACAAATGTATAACTCCACCTTTCAGAGCTAGAGAGCTCTCCTTGAGGCCCATGGTGCTTGGGGACATGAAGGGTTAAATTTATCATCTCGTTCTCTTCCAACTTGTTTTCCTTACCTAGCAACCGGGAATTAACAGATCTACAAACTCTGGTATGACTTATGGTTAAACAAACCAAAGGCAAGACGTACTGCATGACTAATAAGGAAATAGTGAAAGCAATCCGGTACCAAGCAGAGGGCCATGCCTCGACACACAAGTGCTTGCTTTTGAGTGCTTCCAGATTAAGGGCATCTTGGAGATTGACAATCTTGTGGAAAACAGGCAGAGGGGAACAAATGGCCAAACCAAGAGCCCAGATGACTAAAATGAGGTAACAACCATGTTTCAAAGTCAAGTCGCTCGAAAGAGGGTGGCGTATCAAGCGGTACCTGACCACCGCAATAGAAATCAACATCCATGTGGAAACCAAGACAGAAACACACTGAAGGAAAGGCATCACATGGCACATGACTCTGCCAAATACCCACTGATCAAGTAGAACAGATGTCAAGGTGAAGGGAGAGCAGAAGACTACCACTAAAGTATCTGAAAATGCTAAGTTCCCAATGAGAAAGTTTATTATTGTTTTTTGCTTGCACTTCCCCAAAGCCACAAGAATAAGGAGGTTTCCCAGAAAACCAGCAAGGCTGATCAAAGTATAAAGGCCTATGAGAAAATACTGTATGTCATCCACGCTGTTCCTGTAGTCTTCCCAGGTAGGAAAATTGGAACCCACAGAAGGAGCCGAACTGTTCTCTGATGTTACTGTCCTGTTAGTGTAGTCTTGGAACTCTACATCCATATTAAACTCCTGTTTGGAACCAGAAATAGAATAATTAATTTCAGCTACAACAACATTCATGCAAATCAGTTTCAAAACTGTTCTTTGTGTATTTAAAAATACAGATAGTATGATACTTATGGTTTTAATTTAACTAACAGATACAACAATTGTGATTTTTTAAAAAATGAATGAAATGGTATTTTATCCAAAGCTTTGTTATCAAGACATCCTTCAATGTTTCAATGAATGAATATTTCTCAGTCGTCTTTGAGAAATTACTTTTTAGATCTCTGTTTTTAAAATGTATATCCCCTCTTGTTATGCAATATTCAAGAGACTGTTTGTAATAATAATTTACTGTAATCTAATAATAGACTAAAATGAGTATTTTAAAAAGGTAATAGGACATTAAAAGGCGCCAAAATATCCTGAAAGCACCAGATCCTGTCTGATCTTGGAAGTTAAGCAGGACCAGTCCCAGTTAGTTCTTGGATGGGAGACCACAAACCAATACCAGGTGCTATAGGAAGAAACTGGAAAAAACACCAATCCTATGATATTGATGGGGTCACCATAAGTTGATGGGCAACTTAAAGTCACAAACACATATACTATATATGAAATAATAATAATAATAATAATAATAATAATAATAATAGCAACAACACTTTATTTATATTCCACCCTATCTCCCCAAGGGGACTCGGGGCAGATCACAGTACACATAAGTGGCAAACATTCAATGTTGTTTGGACAGACAGAACAAACAGAAAGAAGATATGTTGTGTCGACGTCCAGCTTTCGGTGCCTTTCGAGGTTGTGCTCAAATTGAACCACAGGGCGGTGCTGTCGCTCCATCCTGTATGACAAAGAGCCATCAGGACTTCCTCCTTCCTTTTGGTCACTGGCATTTTCTGGTCTTTTTCTTTTATGGTGTCGTAAAATACCTCCCCTGTTTTTTCGCAGTACCTAATTTCTCTATGCTGTTTTCAAACTGCTTAGGTAAATTTATTTATTTATTTATTTATTTATTTACTTCATTTATTGACCGCCGCTCTCAGCCCTAGGGCGACTTGCGGCGGTAAACAGTGAGATGTGCTGACAGTCGGGTGCTCACCTTGACCAGGGCTTTGAACTGGCAACCTGTCGGTTGGTCGATCTTATTGCTGCTGGTAGTGATTGTGCCCAGCCCAAGAGAGATAATCTGTTTGAAATGAGTTGAACTATCTTTGATACTTGTGTAAAAATGTACCTCCTTATGGAACCCAGGGGAAGAAACCTCTATAAAACTCTAGATCTTGGGTGCCCAAGTTGAGTTATCACAGACTTGCACAGCTATATTCTGCTTTCATTCATTTAGGACATTAAAGGTCACACTTGAAATACGTTGGGAATTTCTGCAACTGTCATAAGACTGGAGCAGGACAGGGCAGGATAACCTGTGGACAACATCTCCAGGACTTTAGAGGACCGTACTTGTCTTATGGGACTGCTTCAACCTATGACCACACAATCACTTTTTAAAAGGGCAATTGCATTATTGAGGGGACAGGACTGGCCTTTTCTGTGTATTCTAGGCCCACAAGAAACATTTTTCAAAATTAGAAGTAACTAGACAATGAAATGGCTAATCACATAATTGACCTTTCAATGACAAATTTTGTGGGACAAAGTCAGAGACCAATTCACTGGCCCTGGTATAATATGATTTGACTGACTGGCTCTACTCAATATTCTGATGGCTACATTTTGAACCAGTTGTAGCTTTTTCAAAGGCAGTCACATTACCTCTATAATTTCTACTAGAATAATATCTTTTATTAGACCAACATATGGGTTCCAAAACATAGCCAAGCTTCCAAAATGTCTACAGGATCTCTTCATCAGGCAAGATGTTACAAAAAGTTGGGTAAAAGAGAGAAATGGTGTGATGTTGAGAGCATGGAGCTTGCATGGTATGCTGAGATAAAACAAGGGAGGAGGGAGTTCTAAAGTTGAAGCTGAACCCATCATATCAGATACTACACCTTCATTTTGATGTTTTCAGATGTCTGCTTCCCATTCCATCTTAAAATTTCACAACATCAACACCAAATCAGTTCCTGCACCAAACCAGCTCTTTATAGCATCATGCTTGAAGAAAAGAACTGAGATGGTTTACACTCCTTTGGTTAGTCTAATAAAGGTATTACACTAATGCAGACTTTGGGAATTTTTTTTGATGGACAGCAAGGTTAATTTGCTTTTTGCAATCAGGACTGGAATATGAATGACTAGACCATAGCAAGAGCATGAATGACAGTGATCAGGAAATTATTGTATGAATCCTTCTTCCACACTTAAAATCAGATAGCTTCGCCTTCTCAGATATGGTAGATCATAATTTCTGTAAATCTCTCTCCTTCTTTCAACTAATTATTCTGCGTTGCTTTATCTAAGAGATGTAAAATGTCTGGAAATGATGATGCTGTGGCGGTGGTGTGGAAGCCCTTTGTCTTCTTGGTTCATTCAGAAAAATCCCCCCCCCCCATTTTTTAGAAAAAATTGAAAATGAAATATTAGCATGGGTTATTGTAGGTTTTTCAGGCTGTATGGCCATGTTGGCTGTATGGCCAACTAGAAGCATTCAGCCATACATGGCCATACAGCCCCCAAAACCTACAACAACCCAGTGATTCCGACCATGAAAGCCTTCGACAATAAATATTAGCATACTTTAAATGTTCCTTTACTTCAGGAGTCTTAACAACAGCATTTGAACTTCAAAATCTTTAGAGCAATTCCTTTAGCCATTCCAGTTTTCCCAATTTCAAGTTTTCATGAGATATATATATATAAAACACATGTATCAGATTTCGAGAGGTCTACCACAATTGCCTTAAGATTGGTCTCTAGTTGCTTCCAGAAGTGCCAGAGGGTTTGGTATTTTGATCTGAAACTCAAGAGCATTTAAATTTTTACTTGTGTAGCTTGATTGCTTGATGAATTATGGTTGTTCCCTTTCTGATTATTATGTATTGTTGTAATGCATAATGCTAGACAAGGACTTGGGTGACACACATTCAAATCTCCATTCAACCACCAAGCTTACTATCTGAATTTCCTTGCTATCTATACAATGTTACTGAGAGGAAACAGTACACTTTCTAACAACTCTTTTAAGAAAGCCAAACATACTCAATTACATAATTTCAATAGCCAGCTTTTCCCATTGGACACACATCACAAATGCAAACACTTTCTGGGTTCTTGATTTTGTCCTAAGGTCAACCAAAGCACTTTTCTGATTAGATGAGGGATTTTGTGTATAGTTGACGCTGGCTTTGTGATTTTCTTCCTGTTTTGTCCTTTTTTTCAGTCCAAAAGGAACTGGAAATAGAATAGCCCTTTGTTTTAAAGGATAACATGTATTCCCCAAAGATTATTGTCCTATATTTGATAATTAAGTTTTGCAACAAATAAAGATGAGACAAATCCAGAAGCTTGTACTCTAGCAGAAGGTTACGTTTTAATGTTGTGACAATAGATATTGATTGCCTCACTTTCAGACATAGACTTCCCTGGTATTTGCCTGCTGTGAAATAAAACAGACTTCCTATGTACTTTCAAAAGCTGGTCATAATTTTTCTCACTTCTGCCTCAAAACAGATTGTACACATAAGTTAGCAGATAAACAACCAAATCATTCTACACCTGTTGAGAAAAGCAGGGCTGGACTGAAGGAGGACAAACGTTTCAGCAAATCAATATTTCTAGTTTCCTCACTTCTCTGACCTACATTTGGGAATGCTTCCTCAATTACACACACACAAAGAACTATACATTTCTTCCGCATTGCGTTCATTCAATGTCTCAAATCCACAATGGTACAGACAATGTAGTCAACATCCTAAATTTTATGATAGACCAACATTTCACATATAACAACAAGCTGGAAGTGTAGCCTTTGCGTCCAAGTGGCTTAAGAACAGCAGCTGTCTTCTAAAATACCTTTATTCAAAGACTATGGATCGATTATCTTTTTTCAATTGCTTCCGGGGGAAGGGGGATGCTCTATTTTGGCTCTGAGCCTGTAGCAGGTGTGTTTGCCTCTTTATATAAATTATCTTCCAGGGGCCACTAAGAATTATTATTTTTCCAATGTTTCCCAGTAGAGCTATTGTATATCCTGGGCTATATTTATTTATTTACTTATATACTATATTTCTGCCCTGGTCTTCTCACCCCAAAGGGGACTCAGAGCATCTTACAGGTATGGCAGGATTCAATGCTCCATTGCAAATAATCATTAGAAAATAAATACATAAACACATGGATTTATAATAACAGATACAAATAAATAAAAACAATTAAAAGATTAAAAACGATTAACAGATTAAAAACCCGTAGTCATAGTTAATGCTGCATTCTATATTGCACTATTCCCCAAATGCCTGGTTCCATAGCCAGGTCTTCAGCTTTTTCCTGAATGTGAGGAGGTAGGGGTCAGTCTAATGTCACTGGGGAGGAAGTTCCATAGGTGAGGGGTTGCCACTGAGAAGGCCCCACCAATTGTGCCCGCAAGAGGGAGGGATAGAAAGCAGGTCCTCCCCCGTTGATCTTAATGCTCTAACTGGTTCATAGGGGGAGATACATTTGGACGTAAGTTGGACCAGAACTGTTTAGGGCTTTATAGGCCAAAGCCAGCACTTTGAATTGTGCTCGGTAGCAGACTGACAGCCAGTGAAGCTGGAGTAACAGGGGGTTGTATACTCTGTACGTTGCTCCAATGAACAGCCCGGTTAACACCCGTTGGACTATTTGAAGCTTCCAAATAGACTTCAAAGGCAACCCCACGTAGAGCACATTGCAGTAGTCTATTCAAGATGTAACAAGAGCATGGACCACCTGGCTTCTCAACTTGCCAAAGATTGGAAGCCAAAATTCACAGGGTTTTTCTCATAGAAACTATGGATGGCCATAAAATCGGGATATAGCCAGGAGAAGGTATAACAACATAGGGAGATGCATAACATCGAGTCATTGGTCAGTCCAGCTAGATATAATTTGCTTAACACTGGAGGCAAGCATTTCAGCCAGTTTTTTTTTCTAGCCTTATTGAGGGATTACACCATCTGCTCTACCACTAAGCCACAATTCCTCAAGGCATTTCCTACTGGATGTTCTTCTCTGCTTATGCAAATGGTTCATTAGAGAAAGCTTACTTGCTACATACAATCCTGACAGGGAGCTACACATATTGACAGTGTTTTACCCTTTTAATATGTGAAAGGGTAAAACACACAAAATGGAATGGTTACAAATAACACCGCTTTGCTGTCCAAGCCAAGAATGGTAGCTTTTCTAAGCTATTTTCCAAACCAAATGACTCTGGGAAAATATTAAGATGAGTACAATAACCCATTTAGTGTGCCCCCCCCCCCTTAACTCTGCATCTATTTTTTGACTCATTAATTACTAGGATGTCATAATAGCAGTACAGGCAATCCCCAAGTTACAAACAAGAAAGGTTATATAGGTTTGTTTTTAAGTTGGATTTGTTTGTAAGTCAAACTTCACCCCCCCCCCCCCGAAATTCTCATGGTGGTTCACGAAAAGGCCTTACTGGTGCATTATTTAAACTGTTATGTTTATTCATATCATGATCTGCTCACCATGCTCAATATATCCCATATGCATGGGGGTATTGGGGTAATACAAAAGGTTTGCTAGGGTAGACCCTCTTTCACTCAGACTCAGCCCCCCGAAACTCAGCCCCCCCGAACCCCCCCTGAAAAAAAACTCACCCCCCCCCAAATAGAAATCGAAGTAACAGTGCTTCTGGCTTCATTCCCAGAATAACTCACCCTCCCTGGCACAACTGCCAGACATCAAATATCAGATATCTCCCAAAGCAGTTGCTCTCCTCCGAACTCAAGAACGGAAAACAGAATGTTGGTGGACAGGAAAAGAGATTTAAAGATGGGCTCAAAGCCAACCTTAAAAACTCTGGCATAGACACTGAGAACTGGGAAGCCCTGGCCCTTGAGCGCTCCAGCTGGAGGTCAGCTATGACCAGCAGTGCTGTAGAATTTGAAGAGGCACGAATGGAGTGTGAAAGAAAGAAATGTGCCAAGAGGAAGGCGTGTCAAGCCGACCCTGACCAGGACCGCCTTCCACCTGGAAACCAATGCCCTCACTGTGGGAGAACATGCAGATCAAGAATAGGGCTCCACGGTCACCTACGGACCCACTGCCAGTATACTGATCTTGGAAGACTATTTTACTCGGACACTGAGGGATCACCTAAGTAAGTAAGTAAAACAAACCCAAGAATTCTGCAGGATGCAGCAATCAGATTTAGTGAGAGAGGGAGAGAGAGAGAGAGAGGGAAGCTTTGTGCCCCTGTTCAGAATATTTTATCTCACTTTCTGTCCCTGTGATAATTGAATTTTGAAAAAATTGACTTGTTGTGGAAACAAGGATTGGTGATAAAGCTTCAGTGGAGACTCTTTTTTTCCCCCATGAGTGAATTTTCAGGAGTGAATTTCTCTTCCCAGGGGTAGATCCTCTCATTTCCTGTTGTCTTGCCCCTGTTCTTAACTATGAGTCATTTGTAAGTCAGCTGTCTGTAACCAGGGGCTGCCTATAGTTGGACATGTCACTTTTTGAGTCATGAAATCCCAGCTTCACAGAATTAGGCAAATTAGACTCCAAACCAGATCCATCTGTATTAGTAGATTTCCTGAATTTCCATAAAGCTGGATTAGATTGAGGGCAGGTGATCTACAGCTTACCCAATTCCTGCCCTACAACTCTCTCCCAGACTACTGCAACCAGAATAGTAATACATCCCCAGAAACAACCAGTTTTGTTAAGAAGCAGGAAGTACAGAGATACTTCTAACTGTAAACTCCATTTCTTTTAGGAATGGTTCTCCTGGGAAATGGTACATGAACAGAATCATCCATCCGAGTCATTGTTCCCAGCGGAACTGGAACAAGAATTGTCATATCCTTGGCAGGTTCAAATTTCCTTGAACACAGGGAAGAATGTGACCACAATGAATGGGCATGTATATTTATGATTCATGTTTTTTGGCACTTGATGCACTACCTCTATCCTCATGGAGGTAAAAGGTTTCTCCTCACCCCTGAACTTGATAATTTTATGAAGTCCCTTTGAAATCTATGATGCTATAGCTTCAATCACAGAATTGAGACAAGATGAGACAAAACATAATTTTCCATTCTCTTGCATCAGAATAAAAATGCCTACTTTCTGCCAATAACTAAACAAGTATAATTCAGCATGCCAGTAACTGAACATAGATGAATCAGAAGCGTTTGATACCAAAACGATGGGCTGATAGGTTCTCCGATGCCATACACGTTCCTTCAAAATAACAAGCACTTGCCTTGCCCAAGCATTGTTCCACATGAATGATGCTGGATGATCAGGGAACCTTCCTGGCTTCAGCTCAGCAAATTCTATTGGCACGTTCACTGTGTTCTGCAGCAAAAATGAAGAAAAATAAATGAAGAGGCTTATGACCCCGGCATCTTAATAACAAACTTCATCAGTTTGAGTACATCCTGCCACAGGCTAATGTCTCTATCAGCTAACATCTGCTTTCCTCCCATTGTGTGTCTACTTCAGCACATGAATTGTAACTGCATGAAAGCATTGGACACTTACATTTTGAGTATGTAAGAAGCTGTCCAATTAAAAACTAGACAACAGCTCAGTAGGGTCTGCCCCAGCCTTCTTCAGATGCATTAGACTACAACTCTGTCAAATCCCAGCCATCAAAATGATGGCTGTGAATGGTGGAAAGTAGAGTCTGACACAACTTGAAAAGTACAAGGTTATTACATAATTCTTCCCAGATATCCCTGAGTTGTTATGGATCGAACATAGGGATTCTTGTTTGTTTGGTTCATTCTGTCATTTTTCCTTTCCCTTGAACATACGGTCCAGAGCCTCCTATTGTTGCTTCTCTCTTGCTACCTGAATCTTTCGTTCCTGTTAATTAAGAGAATGTGGCCATGCTTTCCAACACAGATAACACTAGATATTGGAAATAGCAACCTTCTCAAGCCTCCACTAGTTAAATTGCTTAGTGTATTGTATTTGTGTGCATTAGTATGCAATTTGACCTTAACTCCTTGTTGTGGGAAGGGCTACAGACCATGTGATTAGAACCGGGCTTGTTCAGGACTCAGACTCCATTTTTGAAACTACGTTTTGCTTTCAGACGTTTGAAGGAAGAAGTTCAGCTTAAAGACTCCAGTAAAAACAGAGGTATGCTTTTAGAACTTAGTTGAAACAGACCACAGTGATTCTATTAGACTCTCAAAACAGAGAGATGCTTTGGACTTTGGAAAAATGCCCTATGTTATCTACACAGAGAAACTACTTCAAATCTACTTGTAACTGGATTGATATGCAAAGTACCTATAGGGTAAATAAATGAAGTTTGTAGAAGTCTGCTTATTTTTGTCTCTTGAGAGCATGATTTAAAGGCAAATACATTTTAAGGGAGAGTAGGTGTTTTTTGGGCAACTAAATAACAATAATGATGATGATGATGATGATGATGATGATGATGATGTCGCCATACCAGGTGACAGCCGCATTGAGGAAAAACAACAGGAAAAACTCAGCCGCTATCAAGACCTCAAAATTGAACTGCAAAGGCTCTGGCATAAACCAGTACAGATGGTCCCAGTGGTCATTGGCGCACTGGGTGCTGTGTCAAAAGATCTCAGCTGGCATTTGGAAACAATAAATATCGACAAAATCATGATCTGTCAACTGCAAAAGGCCACCTTACTTGGATCTGTGCGCATCATTCGAAAATACATCACACAGTCCTAGACGTTTGGGAAGTGTTCGTCTTGTGATTTTGTGATACGAAATCCAGCATATAGATCTCATTTGCTGTGACATACTGTGCTTTTGTGTCAATAATAATAATAATAATAATAATAATAATAATAATAATCTTTATTTATACCCTGCCACCATCTCCCCAAAGGGGACTCGGAGCAGCTAACATGAGGCCAAGGCCAAAAATACAATACATCAAAATAAAATACAAAGAAACAAAATTTACATCAAAATAAGATACATGAAGGAACAAAATAAAATAAAAAAGTTACAAAATAACATACTGAAGAGACAGAACACAATGGGCGGGCCAAACGCACAGGATAAAAAATGATAAAACCCTGGATGTGATAGTAGTGGGAAAGTGTAGGAAACTAAAAGGAACAATTCAGAAACTCTGCCAAATGTGTGTGTGTGTGTGTGTGTTTTGTGCATTAGCATGTCTTTATCTCTGACAGTTCAAAGACATACCTAGGTACATCAGTTTAACAGCTGAGAAACCTAATTGCCTTGCATGATTGCTGGTGAATGCCATTTTTCACAAAAGGTTATGACTCTATCAGGTCATGCTTTTATGACTTCTAATAAGGTCATGCCTTTCCAAAGATCATAAAATCTCCAAAAAAGGTTATGGAGATTTCCATTTTCCAAAGCAATTAAAAACTAGGCAGAGCTGTAAGATTATGTTTTTTGCTTCGGGAATCAAATATTTTCAGCTGGAGTTATGACACCAATCAATTCCTGTTCAAGTTAATGGCATGTGTCCCCAGAAAAGACAAAGTTGAAACATACATATCTTAAAATATTTTTTTTAAAAAAACTTATAATATTACCTGGCCATTTTTTTCATTTGTATCATTTTTGCTCCTAAATATCTTTTGTGTATTTAGCTGTGTTCATTCAAGATGCAAAATACCTTCAAACTGGAATTATTGAGTTGGAAGAGATTCCGTGGGCCATCCAGTCCAACCCCCTGTCAAGAAGTAGGAAAATCACAGATAACCAATTCTCTCACACCAGAAACGACTTGCAGTTTCTCAAGTCACTCCTGACATGGAGAAATAAAATTCAAGATGCAGAATACAATCAAACTGGACAAGGATACACTCCTCTCCTAACAGCTTATACTCTTCACCCTGTTTCTCCCTCGAATCCTGCCAACTAATAAGATTTTTCCTATGAGATGGTGTGATCCTCATTGCAGAAGACAATGGCTGAGCTCCAAGCCACATTCAACAATTAAGATAACTTTAGTGGGTTGTGAAAGTTAAAATAATAGCTGCCAGAAAATGAGGAGAAATGAACATGGACAACTAATGAAGAAAAAAGGAGAATAAAAGTACTACTTTTGTTCAACTGTAACAGATTTGCCTCAATATATTTTCTCCTCAATTACCACTAATTGAACTGATATTAAATCTACTTTTCTTTCCACCAGGGAATTCAGTGTTTTCGCACTCCCTTTGAAAATGGTAATTAGTTCACCTAATCTCTTTCTCTGCAAGCAGCCTGCATTCTAATGTTCTATGCCAATCTCCAAATACTGCCTTTCATGTAAAAGCTACCCCAAAAGCCCCAGTCATGCATTTGTTGCAGGGTTGTGTCAGGGATGTGGCTTCTAATGACACTTGTCAGTGCATAGCTTCCATGACAATCGTAAATTAAAGCTCCTCTTTTGGACTACAGCTCCCAAATTCCGGTGAGCGTGCAAGCTAAGGGATTCTGAAGGCTGTGGTCCAAAAAAGAGGAGCTTTTTAAAGTTCTGCATTGCCGGACCAGAAACTCTCCACATCAGGCAGAAGAATCTTATGTCCCACTGGCTGTGACATATAGGTTGTGGTAGGCTGACAGTAACACTGCGTGGAGGCTCTTTTTGACATGGCTGTGTTGAGGCTGGTTTAACAAAGGTTCAGATTTGCATGTAGGATCACAAAAAATGTTAAAAGAAATCTGTTTCAGCTTTTCTTTAAAAAAAATTCTGGCGCCAAAGCAGATGCTCAAATATCATACTTTGAAGGAGGGGGATTAATATACTCATCGGTTCCAAGAAGGAGTCAATGCTGTGGAGAAGAATCCTATACTTGGACAGCTATGAAAAGAAGAATTAGCAAGAGCTCTGCATGCAGAAATGCCAGCTTTGGTCTCTAGTGCATGAACAGGACTCGGTTGCCAGTCCTATAAACCAGTTGTTCTCAATGTGTGGCTGTGGTAACTCCAGGGGATTATCAATGTACTCTAGGTGGGAGACAAGTATTGTAACCATAGCAGTAAACATTTCCAATAATGCTATGTACCTTCAAGGTATTTTAATGGCAGGATTTCATAGAATCATAGATTCACAGAATTGTAGAGTTGGAAGAGACCTCATGGGCCATCCAATCTGATCCCCTGCCAAAAAGCAGGAAAATTGCATTCAAAACACCCCTGACAGATAGCCATCCAGACTCTACTTAAATGGCTCCAAAGAAGGAGCCTCCTCCACACTCCGGGGCAGAGAGTTCCACTGCTGAACAGCTCTCACAGTCAGGAAGTTCTTTCTAATGTTCAGATGGAATCTCCTTTCTGGTAGTTTGAAGCCATTGTTCCACGTCCTAGTCTCCAGGGCAGCAGAAAACTAGCTTGCTCCCTCCTCCCTATGACTTCCTCTTACATAGTTATACATGGCTATCATGTCTCCTCTCAGCCTCCTCTTCTTCAGGCTAAACATGCCCAGTTCTTTAAGCCGCTCCTCATAGGGCTTGTTCTCCAGACCCTTGATAATTTTAGTCGCCCTCTTCTAGACAGTTGCCCTCCTCTGGATTTATCCAGTGAAAGTTTGTCACTGCCTTCCTCTGAGGATGGGAAGATGTGGCTTGCCAAGGGTTTAAGCTTTGGTTTCCTAGAGTCCTAGTTAGCTGCTCAAATCCCTATACCATACTGGATCTCTTTTCAATGATGCTACTGTGATTTTTAAAATGTACCATAAATGTCTTTTAAAACACTTACCACAGAAGCAGTATCACAGAGTCAGAAAATACCACAAGGGTCATTCTATACCTTCAAGTCACCTATTTATTTATTTACCCTATTTATATCCTGACTTTCTCAACCCTAAAGGGGAATCAAAGTGGCTTTACATATAGACAACTATTCAGTGCCTTGAAACAACATACAATTAAAATGAAGAATATAAGTTAAACATTTAAATTAATGGACATTAAAACATTTAAAAACACTGCATTCACTATTAAAATCACACCATCCACAATAGTAATCCAGGGGTGTTCCAGTAATCATAGAATCATTGAGTTGGAAGAGATCCCATGGGCCATCCAGTCCAACCCCCTGTCAAGAAGCAGGCAAATCGCAGAGAGCTCATCCGCCTCTCCCTGGATTTGAACCTGCAACCTATTGGTCTTCAGTCCTGCCAGCACACCAAAAACAACTTGCAGTTTCTCAAGTCACTCCTGACACAGAGGGGAAAAAATCAAGATGCAGAATACATTCAAACTGAACAAGGATACACTTCTCTCCTAACAGCTTATACTATTCACCCTGCTTCTCCCTCAAATCCTGCCCACTTATAAGATTTTTCCTCTGAGATTGTGTGATCATGATTGCAGAAGACAGATGGCCATCCA